TGTTTAGCTTCATATGTTTTTTTTTTTTTTTTTTTCTTTTTTTAGATTGGGTCTCACTTTGTAGTTCAGGCAGGCCTTGAACTTGTGGCCAGCCTCTTGACTCAGCCTTCCAAGGTGTGTGCCATGCCATCATGCCTGGCAATTCCTATTTATCTTCTGTTTTGCCCTGTATTTGATATATAACTCTCTCTTGTGCTTGCTCATGTGTACTCGCTCGTTCTCTCTCTCACGTGCTCTCTCGCTGTCTATTTATATATAATACATAAATTATGTATATGTATAATAAATATATTGTACATATGTATATGTATAATGTTTCTCATGTAAGAGAAACCACGTGATACTTAAACTTGTGTGCCTGGGCTGGGGAGATAGCTTAGTGGCATAACTGCCTGCCTGGCAAATGCAAGGTCTTGAGTTTCATCCCCAGTACAAAAAACAAAACAAGCCAAAAAAAACCTTGTGTGTCAGACTTGTTTCACTTACTTTTTAAAATAGTTTTTTAGGGGGAGCTATTTGTTTTCCAGCGGTGGGCAGACCCAGAAGTTTCTGGGATGATGCCACAATGACCTGGGAATGCACGGATCTTCCTTGGGTCTGGTACATAAACCATCCCATAGCCCATACTGACTAGTCTGGCTGGCTTCCTCTTTCTCCCTGGCCTTCCTCTGTCTAGTTGCTAATCCCTATTTACCTTCGTGGGCCACTTTTCTTCTCTAACCCATCAGTGGCTCCCTACTGGCCTTGGAATTAACACCCCAAATACTACACAGTCCCTCCTGACCAAGATTGTGCTCACCACTCTCCAAAGCCCCTGCCCCTGCCCCTGCCCCTACCCCTGTCCCTGCTTCTCACCCAGAAACTCCCCCTTCCACAACTCACTTCTGAAAGCCCCTCCAGTGATGGCAGGCAGGCAGGCAGGCAGCCCACACTCTAGACTACCCAGCTGGTGTTCCAAGCCTGCTCCACGCAGCTAGGGGGTACCTTGAGAAGAGCTTCCCTGTGCTGTTCCTTTCAATAAACCAGTAGAAATTAGTAGTACCATTTGCTGTCTGATGTGTCTATATATTTTTTCCTTTTCCTTTCTCTCATCCCAGTGGTTCTTTCCTTTGGAGCAGTTTCTTTCCCTTTCATGATATCTACTGTACTTTTCAGATTTTATTTACTCTTAGTTTCTTATCTAGGGACAAAATACGATGTTTATACATGTGGGTCTGATTTGTTTCACTTATGAATATGGTCTCTGGTTGCATCCATTTATCTATAAAGTGCTCGCTTCGGCAGCACATATGCATTTATCTATAAAAGCCTCAAGTTTATCTTTCTTTATAGCTGAGTAGTACTCCTTTATATAAGAATACTGCGTTTTTAAAAATCCATTCCTCAGTTGATGGGCATTTGTATTGTTTCCAAGATTTAGCTGTGACCAATTGAGCTGCTATAAACATGGGTGCACATACATCATTGTGGTACAATGTTTTCAGTTCTTCTGGAAAGACACCCAGGAGGGGAATAGCTGGGTTGAATGGACCTCTAATCCTAGTGTTTTGAGGAAGCTCCACACTGATTTCCACAGTGGTTGTACCAATCTACACTCAGAGCAACAGTGGAGAAGTGTTCCTGTTTCCCTATAACCTTACCGGCATTTATGAGAGTGTGTTTGTGTGTGGTATTGGGGATCATATTCAGGACCTTTTGCTTGCCAGGCAGGCACTTAGGCTGCTGAGCTTTCTCCCTGGACCTGGTTGTCTTTTTGATGACAGCCATTCTTTCTAGGGTGAGATAGAATTTCAGTGTTGTCTTAATTTGCATTTCTTGAATGATCAATGATATTGAACATTTTTTTCATATAGTTATTTACCATTTGTATTTCTGAGAAGTATGTATTCATCTCAGATGCCCATTTTTGGATTGGGTCTTTGAATTTTGGGCCCCTGCTTTTTTCAATTTTTTACATGTTCTAGATAGAAGTTCTTTGTGTGAGGGACAGCTGGCTAAAATTTTCTCCCAGTTCGTGGATTTTCTTTATATTCTGTTGGTGATTTCTGTTGATATGCAAACATTTTTCAGTAAGATGAGATTCTCAGTTGTTGATTGTTTGAAGTATTTACTGTGCAATTTTTTCTTTCATGAACTCTCTTCCTACCCCCAAGTCTTTAAGATTGCTACCTACTTTCTCTTCCAGTAGATTTAGTGTTTCTGTTTTAATATTTAGATCTTTGATCTATTTCAGTTTTAGTTTATTGCATGGTGAAAGATATGGGTGTAGTTTTAATCTTCATTATGTGGAAAGCCAGTTTTTCCATCATCATTTACGAAAGAGGCTGATTTCTTCTAGTGAAGGTGTTTGGCCCCTTTGTCAAAGCTAAGGTGACTTACTATATCTGGTATTGTTTCTTCATATTTTGATGTGTCCTATTGATCCTTGGATCTGTTTTCTGTCTAGTACCATACTGTTGTTTTGTTTTATGCCAGTACTATAGTGTTTTTTATTGCAGGAGCTCTGTAGTATAATTTCAAGTCAGAGATTGTGATGCACCACTGCCTTGCCTTTGTTGTGTAGAATTACTTTTGCTTTTCTAGGTCTCTTCTAGTTCCAAATGAATTTTAGGATTTTTTTTTTCCTTTAGTTTTGTGAGATATGCTGTCGGTATTTTGATTGGAACTGCATTAAATCTGTATAAGAATTTTGGAAGTATGGCTGCTTTCACTTTTTATTGGTTCTTCTTATTCAAGAACAAGAGATGTCTTTTAATTTTGTGATATTTTCTTGATCTTTTTTCAATATATAATTTGTGTACCTATATGCTAATAAGATGAAAAACATGGAGTAGAAAAATCTCTACATATGTGTGAATTACAAAACCTGAATCAAACGGTACAAAATTCTAAATAAACCAGTATCAGTTAATGAAATTGAAGGTATAATTAAAAACCTACCAACAAAGAAAAGCTTAGGCCTTGCTGGATTCACTGCTGCATTTTATAAGAACTTTAGAGAAAACCTATTGCCACTAGTTCTCAAATTCTGTACTGAAATTAAAAGGGTAGCAGTATTCAAAAATTTATTCCTGAAGGAAGCAGGATTACACTGATGCTAAAACCAAAGAAGGAGCCAACCAAAATAGAGAACTACAGGCTAACCTCCCTAATAAATGTAGATATAAAAATCCTCAATAAGATACTAGCAAACAGGATGTAACAAATCATCAAGGAGGTTATATACATCATGACCAGGCAGGATTCTACTCTTATGAGATCCACTATTTTAGTTTCCACATTATGTTAGCTTTTCATCAGGGTAACCAAATATTTAAGAAAAACAGTTTCAAAGAAGAAAGGTTTCTTTTAGCTGAATTTCAGAGATTTCAGAGTGTGGTTACTTGGCTCTGTCATTTCTAGGCCCTCCTGAGGTAGAAGGGTCAGAGTGCAGGGAGCTGCTTGCTTCATGTAGTAAGCGTGCTGAGAGCAGGAGGTGCAGGGAATGGGCTGTGGCTAGGCCTGCCCCAGGGCCTGCTCTGTATTTGCCTCCCTCCCACCAGGCGAAGCTCCTGCTCCTGTCACTTCACACCCAGGGAACGAGCCTCCATGCTGGCCATGGTGAAGCCAGAGCCCTTGCACTCCAGCCATTCCCAGATTCCCATGGGCCCCTGGCCGCATACCATGCACTTGGGGGACTAGTTAGCTAGCAGGTCAATAAACTTCCAAGTGAGCGTGCAGTGGATGTGTTTCTGGGCTTAGTTTATCTGAACATTGACCTTTTGGGCTTGCATAAGTTACTGATGCAAATCATTTTAATTTTTCAAAAGGTTGTGACAAATAACTGTAGGAAAGTGAGTGAAATGTTTTCAATCTATGTTTAATTTGATACTTATGGTGTCAACTCTGTGTTTAAATATGGAGAGTGGTTTTCTAATTACAATTTAACCTTATTTTTAAGAGAAGACTTTATTATTCACTATCAACTATTTTTGCTTTTCAATTCATTAAAGATATAACACAGAATGTTTAATGGCAGATTCTTCATTGTCAGATTTCTTTTTCTTTCTTTTTTTTTTTTTTTTTCTTTTAGGCCTGATCAACCTCGAATAACCAAAGATGTAATTTGTTTTCATGCTGAAGACTTCTTAGAAATAGTTCAGCGAATGCAGTTGGATTTGCATGAGCCTCCACTGTCCCAGGTATAGTTTAAATAATTATTGTCTTTTTTTTGGCTGACACAGCCCACCCTGGGGGTGGGGCTGGCACAGGATGTGGTGCCGGGGATTGAGCAGAGGTCCCTGTACTTGCCTAAGCAGGCATTTTAGACTGCTGAGCTATCTCGCTGCCCAATTGTTGTCTTTAGTTTAGATGTTGTTATAGAAAATACTTATGTGCATTCCTTTTTCTTTGTTCAGTGTGTCCAGTGGGTTGATGATGCAAAACTTAATCAGCTGAGGAGGGAAGGCATCCGCTATGCCAGGATTCAGCTGTATGATAATGACATTTACTTTATTCCAAGGAATGTTGTTCATCAGTTCAAGACAGTTTCTGCCGTATGCAGTTTAGCATGGCATGTTCGGCTCAAGTTGTATCACTCGAAGGAGGATGTTACGCAGAGTACGGCTGCTCATGAGACAGCGGCATCATTAGATTCCATGCCATTAGTTCTTGGACCTCACTCAGACACCAGGATTTGTGCTGTAAGGAAAACCTCCTTCGATTCTGCGTTTTCAGACAAACTTCATTCTAAATATGAATTATCGCAGATTAAACATGAACCTCATGCATCTGTAAGGATCAAGGAAGAACCTGTGAACATTAATATTTCTGAAAAGACAAAAGCACCAAATAATATGGATGGGAAGACTATTAAAGCAAAATTGGATCATGTTCAGTTTACAGAAATGAAGATTGATATGGATTCTAACTTTGAAAATAGCAACAAAGAACTAAAGGAAGAATTATGTCCTGGAAGTCTCATAAGTCTGGTTGATACAAGGCAGCATAGTTCAGTACACTCAAATCAAGAAACAAAAGATGATGACATTTTGTGCTAAATTTGTACAGAGCATTTAAAAAAATTTTTTTTTAAAAAATGAATAATGTAATAAAGATTCATGAATTCTGAAAGCAAGCAAAGGACTTGCTCTCAAGTCTGTTACAAAATATAGATTATGTAGCTTTGTAACATTCCTCAGTGCCTGTCCATAACTGTGAAGTATCAAACACTTAGGGCCAGATGCACTGTAAACACTGCAGGTTTAAACAAAAAGGAGTCTTCAAAAAAATCATTTGAGTTGAAGTTGTAGGTTTTAGAATCAAGCTGA